CAAGACATTTCCCTAAACTCTATGAAGACACAAGTCAGGCTTTGCTTTAAATTTATTGGTTGCGCAGAAATTTAAAAGTACTTTCCATTGGGATTAAAACTCTGTGATCCTGCGGAAGGAGCCGATACCAGGCGAAGATGCCCCCCAGTCGCTGTGCTGCCGGTATTCTCCTCTCTCCAGCAGGTACTGGTGCCCCCTGTAGTTTGGGAGGTCGTATAGCACCCAGGCGCCATCTGTCACCACGCAGGAGTAGGCCTCCCGCATCTTGTGGGTGTCATATGCTGAGGGCACGTCATCGGTGCAGTCTACCACCTGCCCTTCAAAATCAGGTCTCTCATAGAGTCTCAGCTTCCAGGAACTACCGTAAATCTAAAAAACAAATGCAGGAAAAACAGTAATTCCTAGGATAATAATAAATTATACTTTTAAATAATAATTATTAGTCTTGCTGCTGATATTCTGTCTGCAGATAGCATTGCAACAATGAATACATAGTTATTAGAATAATTATGTCAATTTACATTCTCCATAAACAAAAAAAGAAAGAAGCTAAAGGTCTAAATACAATTTTTTTTTTGCAAGGATTTTAAATTTGTGATCCACACTCTCACGTTCTTCACAGCACGGCAGGCTTTGACGCTGTCACTGAAGGCCATCCACTGCTGGTTGTCAGCATACTCCCCTGGGCTGAGGATGTACTGGAAACCTTTGTAGCCGGGCCTTTCATAAATCACCCACACGCCGCTCTCCACCCGGATGGAGTTGCAGCGGCTGAAGTGAGTGTGCAGGTCTGCACAGTCGCTGCTGCAGTTGTAGCAGCGACCCTGGAATTTCTTCTCCTCATAAAAAGTGATCTGTCAGAGTGGGAAAACAATATATATATATATATATATATATATATATATATATATATATATATATATATATATATATATATATNTTTTTTTTTTTTTTTAAGCTGCTGTAGATTTGATCTTACCTTCCCCATTTGGATGCCCGGTAAACCTGATTCTTTGCTGCAGCCCGATCAAAGTATTTATCCATAAAGAAAATCTGCAGAGCATGGCAAAAATCTTTGATACCCAAATGAGCTAGATTTGCATATCAGCAGAAACAGCTTGGTGTCATTTGATTTGCCTCTGTTCCAGCTTGATAATGAGTCTCAATCAAAACACATGCTGGAACACTAAAGGATCGGTGTCAGCTCCAACCAGCACGACTAACTGTTAAATATTTTTGTTTCTTCATATAAGACTTCAAATGAATGTTAAAAGTATTTACTGTCACTGTGATATATTTTGGATCTGCACCATACCCTGAATAAATAGTTTATCAGTCTGGTTGTGTGTGTTTCTTAATGTACTGAGTGAGCATAATTTGTAAGAATACCCCGGAAAGTGATTTCATGGATTCCCTAACTGAACAGCGACCTGGTAGATTTCCAAACAGAAAAAATGTAGAAGCTGTAAATATTATACATCCAAAGCCCTGACTTGAATGTGATGGAAAAGAAGCTTTCTGGCATCAAACATTGGGAGCTCATCAGCAAAGATAAACCATCCAGCGAACAATGAAAACCTTTATCAGTATTAGAAGGTGGGGATTTTTCTTTTCATTTTTATGGTGTAATGAGAATATTTTTCCTTAAAGGTATAGTGGAGGATGTTCTTTTACCGGGTGGATCATCGAAATAAGTCCTCCTACTTTTTAACCATTCTGGTGATATGTTTATACGTAAGGCTTTCGTAAGGAGAGAGGAGAAATGGGCTCTTGCTTGTGTTTAATAGGCGTTCCCTCTCTGCAGCTGGTACACGGTTGTGCATGTGCATTTTTTTTTTAAAGTTAACAGGGCCGGTCTCTTCCAAAAGTGGTGAAAATCCCCCACTATACCTTTAACTATTGATAAGAATTCTTTCTATTAAGTTTTATATCAAATGCGATGAAATTGATGTTTTGCATTATACTATGTTTAAATTTATAAATTTATATTATCTTTAAATAAGATGCCTTTTCAAATTTTCTTACATAACTAAGTTAAAGGAAACTGAATCTTATTCAGGATTAGAGTATAAATAATTCTGATTTCAAATGTGCATGACTTGTTCCTTAGTTAAAAAACATTTTGCAACAATTCCTATTTAGGATTCTGCTATATTTTTAAGTTCGACCCACCTAGCATGAAAACAGACATATATCAAAAATAGAGGTTTTACATGATAAACTCCAATTGGATGGACTGGTTATTGCAACAAAATCAGTGACTTGGATTATTCTTATTTATAATTGATGATGTGTGAGTCTGTTAAGCCCTAATAATGCCTGTCTGTCATGAGTTTAAACTAATATTTTCCCAAGTAGTTCATCTAATTAGGACAGTTCCTCTGTCAGAGCCATCTTCAATATGCATGTGGCAAAGATTTTGGAATGGAATGAGTGCTGTGTCCTTAATCTAATAACATTTTGTATTATTTTGATAAGGCTGGATAATGACCAAATGAACTAATACATAGTATAGCCCAGAATCTGATTCATGATTGAACTGGATTTGCTGTCTATGTGAACAGATCTAATTTAAACAAGATGTTTTTTAATTAGTCTTTAGACCTAAAGACCAACTGCAGCTTTAGTTGTTTTATCGAATCTCTGTTTTTTCTTTTGTTCTTTTCCTAGTACTAGCTAGTAATATTTCTTTTAATGTTTTTTTGTACTTCCATTTATTTTAGAGAATTTAAGAAGCATCTTTTCTGACACGGGGCTTCATTTTCAAAAAACGAGTTCCCGTAAATCGCAAGCAGTGGAAAAAAACTCTATTTTAGGTCAGAATAAAAAGCAGGCACAAACAAAAACTCCATTGCAGTTGACTTTATTATAATTTTTTTTTACATTTTCCACCAGTCACATTTAAGACTCCTGATCTAACTGGCGTCCATAATTCGCCGGATGGAGCTGAACCTTGTGGTGCTGCTCATCCCCATCTCCAGCAGGTTCCTGTACTCTCCTGGCTTCAGGTACAACATCCTGCCCCTGTAGTTGGGCTGCTCGAACATCAGCCAGTGGCCATCCATGACGTTGCAGGACTGGCATTCGGACATGCGGAAGCGGTCCATCATGTTGTCGCAGTCGTCCGCCAGCTCGTGCATTTGGCCTGCGAAGTTCTCTCTCTCATAAAGCCTCATTCTGAAGGGACCTCGGTGCTGCAGAGGGAGAAATTACTCTAAAATTAAAAGCTGCAATCTATGAATTGCAGCTGCAGAACTAATGTACTAAGAGGATAAACAAACTTTGCATTTGCATAAGTTTTGGTCAAATGTAATATAATTGAACTTAGTGCAGAAATAATGTGAATATTGTGGTAAAAACTCTTTCAGCCTTCCTTAAAAACTTGACAAAACAAATCAGACGATCATCTCTAGGTGGAATGTGTTAAAAGAGAACTTTAAAATTTGAGCTTTTATGTGCCCTGGTCTTACCACGGGGATGGTGCGGCAGGATCGGATGCAGTCACTTGTGCTCATTCCCATCAGCCTCTGGTTGTCGGGGTACTCTCCCCTCCTTACCAGGATCTGGTGGCCCATGAAATTGGGTTTCTCGTAGACCATGAAGAGGCCGCTCTCCACCCTGCAAGAGTTACATCTGCTCAGGTAGGAGGTGAGCTCCGGGCAGTCGCTGCTGGTCTCATAGGAGCGACCCTGGAAGTTTCTCTCTTCATAGAATACAATCTACAAAAAAAAAAAAAAAAAACACACAGAGAGATTATTAGCTAACTGCTCAGAAGTAGACTTTCAATGGCTCTCAATGCTTGGAAAACTTCACCTACCCTCCCCATGGTCATGATAACTGTGAGCAAATTGTGAGATGCACAGCGCCAGCATCGACCCCTTTTCCCTTTTTATACATTGCACACCCGTAGCATTTCCACATGGCTTGTGCTGAAACCTTTGAGTCATCACTCTATATTGTGGCACAGAGCTGCACTATAGGGTGGCAGACTTTAGTGTACATCAAAATCTGCATTTATTCATTTATTCTCACTTCAATATGAGATTTTCTGACTGTTTCTGGCAACTTCTGTTATCTATTTATCTTTTTATGAAGGATGTAAAGGATTCAAGGATGAACATTAATGCTGTTGTACTAGTGAAAGCAAAAAAAGCTCTAGGTGACTGGAATTCATCTTTTTGTTACAGTAAAATGATATTAGATTTAACTTTTGAAGCTTTTTATAAAATAACAGAATAATGATTATTGAGGTGTACTGTTAAAAAAAAATCTATGCAAGGCCACGTGAACCCCATGATGAGTCATGATGTTTCAAACAAAGGTGAGCTAGGTGGTCTGGAGCTGACAGTGTATATAAAAGCAACAGCACTTGGCAACATTTGGAAAAAACCCAACAACCCTCACCATGGGCAAGGTATTATTAGATTTGTTGTATGTTTGCATGCTCTTGAAAAATATGGCAAACTTTTGAGCTAACTTTAAGGAAAAAATCTGTCCCAAAAACTTAACCAAGCAGCGTTGTGCTTTTTCTTCCCTGTCCTTCCTGCAGATCATTTTCTACGAGGAGAGGAACTTCCAGGGCCGCTCCCATGAGTGCGGCAGCGACTGCGCCGACATCCAAGTGCACCTGAATCGCTGCAACTCCTGCAGGGTGGAGAACGGGTGCTTCGTGGTGTACGACCGCACCAATTTCATGGGTAACCAGGTCTTCCTGAGGAGGGGCGAGTACCCTGATTTTCAGTACATGGGAAACATGATGGGTATGATGGGTATGGCCATGATGGATACCATCCGCTCCTGTCGTATCATTCCTATGGTAAAATACTGTCTTTTAAAGGAGAACCCTCCATCTTGTCTGGTTTTGTTACAAGAAAATGCTTTTGTTTAACAGCATAGGGGACAGTTCAGGATGAGGATCTATGAAAGAGAGAACTTTGGAGGCCAGATGCATGAGCTGATGGACGACTGCGAGTCTCTCCAAGATCGATTTTACATGTCCGACTGCCAATCGTGCAACGTGATGGACGGCCACTGGCTGATGTTCGAGCAGACCAACTTCAGAGGAAGGATGATGTACGTGAGGCCAGGAGAGTACAGGAACCTCCGTGAACTGGGAATGAGCAACATCATGAGAATCAGCTCCATCCGAAGGATCATGGATGTTTGTTAAATGTCATTGATTATAAAACTAATGATAGAAGGAAAATAAAATTGTTGTTTTTGAGGTTTCTTTGCTGCATCTTTTCTGTACTTGGAGAGCAACAAATAAATTCCATAAATTCATAGTTAATGTATTTCAAGCCCCTTTACACATAAAAAACATGAACAGGGAAGTTCTTACATTTTAATAAACTTTATAAAAAGTTAAAAAGCAAGTTACCCTACTTTCAATACGGTAATCTAAAGGAATATA